TTGCTGTGTCACTGCGCGACGGTAAGATGCAACGTAATGAGAACGTAGCTTCATCGATTATTGGCCATTCATTCCATGCTGAAGAAGTGGTGCACCAAACGCTTGTAGTGCGAGTGCAAGCGATTGACGACTATTGGACTTGAGGCCGTGCGCAGTCTAGTGCGCCTTCACACGCAATGGATTGAGCCAGATGACAGCTGCATCGGATAGTTAGCGCTAGAGTCGAGATCATGCCTGTACAAGCTTTGACGTAGCTAGTATTTTAACACCACCTCCTACAACTTAAACTAAGCCAACCTGTTTATAGTAGCGATACTACTGTGTCCAGTATCGGCCTCTCATTATCACACATAGGCGTGGGTCTCAGAATGTGAGCTCGACAGGTTTTAATGGACCAAGCGAATACTTCAAGGTGTCTTGCTTCATGCCATGGTTTCCATCTGCCAACGAAGGCCGAGACATTATGGGTAAACTAATTCCCACCGCCTGTTTTCTGGCCCCCCAAACTTTGGGCTCGATCCAGTTGTCAAACTCACTTCATTTCACAATCACACGTCCGAGCTGCTAAACTTACCGTCATTGTGACTGCCATTTTTATGCTCTGACGACAATTTCGGGTCGTCCATTCACTATATATTCCCGTAGAAATCATCATCACAGCGAGTTTTTAAACGTGTTCCATGTATGGCATTTACGACAGCGTCTTCTTCTTTCTTGCCATCGAGAATATCCTACAACGCACAGGATCGTCCTCACCAGACCAGACAGCTTATAGATACGATACCGTCAGCGTCGATTGGTCTTCAGAGACGGGGTGCGCGCTTCTCACCTCTGATTACCGAATCACTTCTCACTGTCCAAATCCGGAATAGCGTGTACGTGATGATACCACTGACCAACTGTACGCGTCAAGTGCTCAGCGCAGGATCACGCGTTCTGCGCGATCCATTCGTTTAACGCAAGCGTTACAGTATTTCTTTGAGTTTTTGCTCGGCATACCCACCCCGACACACTTGGCCATGTCCGCCGAAGAGACCTTGCAACAACTGTTAAGAGACGCACGCGCACTCTCTTTCATTTTCTACGTCGCAACAAACTCCCGGATGTCCCAAGTTCAGCGAAATTCAGTTCACGTCTCTGTCCTGGCAAGACACCCGATCCGACAGATATCCTCAACTGCGGGAGCCGACGGGATGTGAGCAAGCTGTCTCGCACATGTCGTCACGCGGCTACCGGTCGTAAATGTGGCCGCGTACCGCGCACTTGGTCGCTCGGAGAAACACCGTCACGGCTAGCGACGTCTCAAGCAGCGCGTCTTGCTACGTTCTGTGTGTATCGTGCGACTGTACGCTTCAGTTACGTGACGACGTCTCAACTACGTATCTGCCCCGTCATCTTATGCCGACCCAAAGCTGCTCTATGCTAACCCATCTCTATGCCGGAATGTTATTGGCACTTCAGAACTCGTGGGACTTTGTCAACAACACGCCACCCGCAACAAAACTCAAAAGACTCGCGATCAGCTGTGGACTTGTCGCTTGAGGCCGTAAACAATGTCGGCGGCACTGGTTTTTGCACGAAGCAGCGGAAAGTCAAGTGCGAACACACCCTATGCGTCCCCAAACTTTAGAAACCGGTCGACTGTCGATGTGACAACTGGATTTTTTGCACTTAGAAACGCAATATAATTGCAAGAAATATAACTTCTCTGCACAATGTCTCGGCATTAATTGATCTCATCAGGTTTGCATCGATACTGCGGCTCCAATCCGAGCAAATGATCCTGTCGTGACGGGAATCGATCGTCGCACAGCACAGCTGCAATCAAGAGTTGCCAAAAGAGAAGTGAATGTCGAGACGAGCTATGCATTGCGCTCACTTCATGTGACTTCTAGACTATCGTCAGTATCAGACCCCTTGCCAACAATTCAATGAGGTGCCAAAAGTCGCAAACAACCGCATGATGAGCAAAAGTGCATTCGCGCAAAGCATAAACACGTGCAAAGCTTGATCGGGTTTCCGAGCTACAAGCTAAACCTGTCTGGCCACGACTCGATGGCTCAATTGCGACAGTCTGCACGCTCAGACGCGGTCCATGGTCTCGTCTGGCACCTCGAAGCCCTTCTCGCGTTCGCGAAGCTCCACGTTTACTTGCGCGGTCATACAGCCTTGCGTCGAAGCATACGTGCACTGTGCGACGCAGTGCAAGAGATTCGCGAGTTCGCCGAGCTCCGAGATGCAGATGGACAGCAGACTGCAGACGCAGCTAACGAGCTGGATACAATTGTTGCATCGCTACGGCAGCCCCGTCACACACACGGCACGCAAAAACTGTCGTTAGTAAAGCCCTCCTCTGTCAAGTGTCATAGGGTCGCTCGTGAATCCGTACGATAATGCGGTTGTCCCACTTGTCGGGCTGCAGACGGTAGCGGTCCATGACCAGCATGCGTGTAGCAGACACGGCACAGCCATTGCAACAAAAGGCCTAACAACAGAAACAACAACAACAAGTGTCGTCATCAACGTGAGCACATGCAAGAGGCGGTCATGACTCAGCTGGCTATCCTACAGCCACAAGCAGCGTCAGTGGACGAACCTCGAGACACAGACAGCCATTGGGGCAGCTAGACTCGCCACACTGGCCAGAGCGCGCGCAGGGCACGATGCCGTCCATGTAGCCCTGACAGCACGTGTAGTTGCTCATGTCGTAGTTGAGCGCCTTGCGACGGATCACAATCTGCGCACAGCACGGACACAGACACGATGCCAAACAGCCTACAGATACCGCGATCGAGACACGTCAGCTGCAGCGCCCGCGCGACACGACCGGCAGCAGGACGCGGCTGTCACGTACACACGGGGTCGGCGCCCGGCGCCTTCATCATGCCCACGTGGAACGCGCCGGGGTTGTCCTTGCGCACATCGCCGTCCACAGGATCACTCGAGCACAAGATGCACATGATGGCGGGGACAGAAGCGGTAGTAGCAGCTGTGGTAGAGACGCGTGTGGATGAGCAGACGCAGTGGCAGCAATAGAGCAGCAGCAGCAGTAGCGGCGTCGGCGAAGTAGCCGCAGACAAAGTTTGTGTTCTTTTCGTACGTTTTAAACAATGGCGAGGAGTCAGCAGCGGTTTTGCTGTGCGCAGCTCGTGATTGGCCGAAAGGGAGCCACACTGTGTTGCAAAGCGTCGGACACAGCTGCGCCGTGTTCTTCGCGTGGTGTACATGAGGACGGTACAGTGTGCCCTTGACAGCCGACGTCGATCAGACCGATAGACAGCTCCTGACCTCGCCCGCCGGTGCGAGCGCCCGCACTCTCTGCCACCTGCCACTCGTGAAGAACGCGCGCTGGCGCATCGACTAGTGACTAGCGCCTGTCCATGTGGCGCAAGCGTCGCGGCTCGCTGAATGGTGGCAACAACAACAACAGCAGCAGCAGCAATAGCAGCAGCTTTGGCTACAGCAACACCAGTCACAACCCTAACGTTGCGCGCGAGTCCCCAAACTTGATGACATCTGCGTCGCTCGCGACTACGCCGTCGTTTTCGTCCATGTCGGTGGCCAGCAGCAGTCCCTTCTTGGGCAGCGATCCGAATGCGAACGACCGTGCGCTTGTGTTTTGCCTGGAAGTGCCGACGCCAGGACCTCTCGGTCTCGACCTGCGGGCGCGACACATTGAACGGGACAAACCTCAGCGCGGAGCTGTAGTCAAGGGGTTCCGGCCAACGCAGGGAGGAAAGCCCGGCTATGTCGAGTCGACAGGACGCGTCAAGACGGGCGATATCCTGCAGATGCTCCATAAGACAGCAATTGATGACATGCCGTTTGAGCAAATTGTCAAGTACGCGATACAGCTGCAAAAAGATCCGACGGCGTGGCCGTTATTGATGGAATTCCGGCGCGAGTCGGAGAGACTCGAGAGCAGCAGTTACGTGGCTCCGTCGTCGTCGTCGTCAAAGCCACGACGCAACAGCTTCTTTCGCTCGTCCATTTCCATGTCAAATCCTGTCCAGGATGGAAACTTTAACGAGAAACTGCAGTACTTTCGAGGCTTCTTTGCTACAAGGATCCCTACTGGTGGTACGGCACCGAGGGAGAAAGAAAAGCCGCCTAAGCCGCAGAGATGGGAAACCGTAGACGAGATGTACCGCGAGTTGATGTCGAAGCGCGGAGTGCCCGAAGACGTCATGGACGAGCTCGTTCGTATCGAGTCACTGGAAACGAAGTGGCATGTTGTCTGGTACGCCCAGCAAAATGAGAATGAAGACAATACAAAGTCGAACGCAACAGAGGCAAAGAGATTTGCTGAGAACCTGGTGGAATTGAGGTGGGACAACAAGGGTCTGAAGGACCTCGAGGCGCTTCGCGGCAAGATATCGATTGCATCGACCGACTGGCTAGAGTCTTTCCTGGCTCATTTCGGTTTGGACTACCTGACGATGAAGCTTCCTGATCCGTCCCCGTTTCCCATTGAGCACTCCAAGTACGAGAAAGCAACGCGCGTGTGCGAGGTGATTTTGCGGATATTGCGCTCACTGACTCATTTTACGGCTGGAGTAGAAGCAATAACCAACACACCTGGACTAGTTAAGCGGGTGGCTCTTTGCTTCCATACGGAGAATGGGGACGTGAAAAAGTACACACTACAGCTACTCGGAATCGTGTGCTACAACAGTGCGGCGGGGCACACCGCTGTTATTGAAGCGTTCGACCATTACAAGGAAACGAAAGGCGAGAACATCCGCTTCAGTTGTTTGCGAGATGCGCTCAAGTCAACGAGATACTCGCTGGTGTTCAAGGAAGACGTGTTGAGCTTTGTGAATATCATTGTGAACAAAGCTATTCGACTGGAAGATCGGCTAGCGATTCGTTCCGACTTTATGGCGCTGAAGATGGCTGGTTACTTTGAAGAAATTCGGGCCAAATCGCTTGCTGTGCAGCGTACAAAGTATCCTCTTGCTACTTCTGCTACTGTCGCGTCGGTGGAGGAAGGTTTTTACGGCATTCCGTCTCCAGTGCCCGGTTTTCCAGCGACTCCTTCGCCGTTGGTCAGCAGACACGTTGCAAGGAACACTACGTCACCAGTTCTAAGCAGCCGGTCCTCCGAATCACCAGTCGCTGGGCGAGGAGTGTGTCCAGGAACCCCTGTGTCCAAACTAGACTCCTTGAAGTCCCTCGGTGGACGGCGGTTGTCTGCACGTAAATGCAAGGACGATGCGCGTCTTTTGGCAAGTAGAAGCGCGCCGCCATCCCCCGTTGACCGAGAGCCAGCGTCCCTTTCTCCCGATGGTACAATAGTGCGCTCTTCGCTTCCTCTGGACAACAAAGGCACGCACCGGTTCGGAAATGGAGGCAATAGCATCATCAGTAGCTCCGTGACGCAGCTCCGGAATCAGCTTGATAACATGGAGAAACAAATTGATGTGTTTGAGCAGTTTATGGAAGATGACCGGAAGGACACGATTTATGAGCAGACCGACCTGTCCTCGGTGGACAGTGTATATCGGTCTCTATTCGACAGCATGACGAACGAACCTGAGCTACAGGCATGTTTTCTGTCGATTCTACAGCAATTGCTTTTTGTTCCGGGCGACCGCGTGATTGGGAAAGAGATGTGGGCAATGTCAGAGAAAGTGATAAAACAGATTACGTTATTAGCTCCCGTCGAGGAAGTACGCAATTTTGATTTGGGATATGACGACCGCAAGACGTTGTTGAAGATGCGTGACCGCTATGCGCAATTCCTCCAGAAGTGTGCTGACAGTGATCCGTCGTTCCACTTTCGTATGGGTCCGATCATTTTGATTGAGAATATGGATCGGGACCATGACGATCTTTCGCTTTCGGATGTGACAGCAGATGAAACCGATGAAGAAGATGCGCCCTCGACTGTGGCTGCTCACGAGCACCCGGAGCTAGTGAAATACTTCAAGCTGCTGAAGATGGGGATGCCAATGCATCAAATCCAGCTGAAGATGAGCAGTGAGTTGCAGACATTCGATCCATCGGTTTTGGAAACGCCTGACAAGATGGTTCCGCTTGCTAGATCGGACGGAGAAGCTGAGAAAAAGGGAACACGAGCTGAGGAACACGAGAAGTATGCCAAGTTCTTCAAGTTGAAGAAGATGGGCATGCCGATGCCACATATTCACCTGAAGATGTCCGCAGAGGGACTTGATTGTTCGATGTTGGAGACCCCGGACCTGCTTCTCGCTGATGATGGCACGGAAGTAAGGAAGAGTATGAACACGACAGGTCCAGCTGGCATTCGAGTCAAGGATCACGAAAAGTTTGCCAAGTTCTTCAAGCTGCTGAAGATGGGAATGCCTCTTGAGCAAGTCCAGCTGAAGGCATCGTCCGAGGGCTTGGATGCATCTTTGTTGAGCACGCCCGATCAGCTTGTGGACAAAGAAGGCAATTTGTTTGTGCTTGGACAAGTGGAGCAGCCGTCACGAGGGATTCCTGTGAAAGAGCACGAGAAATACGTCAAGTTTTTCAAGTTAATGAAGATGGGTATGCCGCTGGAACAGGTGAAGCTGAAGGCGTCCGCAGAGGGATTGGATGGCGAGTTGCTTTCTACCCCAGATGCTTTACTGACGAAAGATGGAAGCAAGCTTGTTGAGGCAATAGTTGTGAAAGGCGTTCCTGTGAAAGAGCACGAAAAGTTTGCTAAGTTTTTCAAGCTGCTGAAGATGGGGATGCCGCTTGAACATGTCAAAGTGAAAGCATCTGCTGAAGGTTTGGATGGCGAATTGCTTTGTACTCCTGATGTACTAGTAGACGGGGACGGAAAGAAAATGGAGATGGCCACGGAGCAGCGTAAGAGCGTACCCGTGAAAGAAAGTGAGAAGTTTGCAAAATTTTATAAGCTGCTGAAGATGGGAATGCCTATGGAGCACGTGAAGCTAAAAGTATTGTCGGAGGGCCTGGACGCCAATCTCCTAGACACACCCGACAAGCTGGTTGACGAGGACGGAAAGGAAGTGCAGAGTGTGACGCCCGTCGTGCAGAGCGTACCTGTAAAAGAGCACGAGAAGTTTGTTAAATTTTTCAAGCTGAAGAACATGGGTATGCCGCTGTCCCAGATTAAGCTGAAGGCAATATCGGAAGGACTGGACGGCGATCTTCTCGACACGCCGGACAAGTTGGTAGGTAAAGATGGAAAGGAAACGAAAGTAGGTGATGAGAAGATGGTGAAGGTATCGGATCACTCGTGCTACGTCAAGTATTTTAAGTTATTGAAGATGGGCATGCCGCGTCCACAGGTGGAGCTGAAAATGAGCGCGGAGTCGCTAGACCCAAAATTATTAGACACACCGGATGCAATGATCTCGGAGAACTCGTTCACTGCATCCGCAGCGGCAGAGGCGAAACCCGTCATGGTGGGTGCTCCGAAACCTAAGCTTCGGAACTTGTACTGGGAGGCAGTGAAAAGCGAGGAGACTGCCGGCACGATTTGGGAAAAGTTTGCAAGGGAAGACGAAGAGAAAAAGAAGTATGAACTCGGAGCGCCAGCGGGTCCTCCGAGCGTTGTGGGTCTGTTTGCAGCGCGAGCAAGGTCACAGAAGCCTGAGTCTACAGCAGCGAAGAAGGACATTGTCAACCAATACGTTGATCAGCTATCTGACATCTTCGTGAATAAGCCTCCGAAAGCAAAAGAGTCGGAGGTCAAGAAGCCACTGAAACGGCGAGCACCGACCCGCGTTGCCCTGATTGACGCCAAGCGCGCGAACAACATTGGCATCATGCTAGCACGATTCCGGTTGCCGTACTATAAGCTCCGGAATGCTGTGCTGCTAGTCGACAAGGGTCTCCTCTCCGTCGAACGTGTGTCTGCACTTCTCCAGTTTGCTCCAGAAGACGAAGAGGTAGATGCTATACGGAATTATGCTGGTGACCCGAAGCTTCTCGGTGATGCGGAGCAGTACTTTCGTGAGATGCTTTGCATTCCGCGGTTGTCCACCCGGTTGCAAGCGATCCATGCGACGTGGCAGTTTGACGCATACGTGGAAGAGCAGCGCAAGCTCATGGAGTCTGTTTCGAACGCATGCCGTGAGTTGCAAGCGTGCGAGCCGTTGAAGGAGATCTTTCGCGTCGTGCTATCGCTTGGAAACGCTTTGAATGATGGCACGGCGCGCGGCGGGGCGAAGGGTTTCCGTTTGAACATATTGCTCAAGCTGAACCAGGTGAAGGCGGCGGATAATTCGATCAATTTGCTCAATTACCTCGCCAAGCTGCTGCGAGCGAAAGACCCAGCGATCCTTGAGTTTGACAAGAGCCTGCCGTCCATAGAGAGCGCAAGCCGCGTCACCATGCAGGTGCTAAAAGCCGGTGAAAGCGCAGTGCGCAAGGCCGCGACTCTCATTTGCAACGAGCTTGAGGTGCATGCGAAACTGCCAGAGAAGGAGTACCCGCAGCCCGAGAAAACGCCAGGCTCTGATGAAGAACCTGAAAAGATTTCGGACCGTTTTCAGGAGGTGGTCAAGCCTATTGCTGATCGCGCACGGAGGACATCCGAGCGCACTGCGAAGGAACTCGAAAGCATGACGAAGCGTTTCGGGGAGACGGTGTCGTACTACGGAGAGGACCCCTCGAGCCTGGACTCTGGTCCGGACGCGTTTTTCTCGATATTCTATTCGTTTGCCAAGGTGCTGCAGTCAGCCGACCGTGACAATGAGCGTAAGCGCATTGCCGAGGAGCGGAAGATTCGTCGGGAGGAGGAGACCAAGAAGCGCCTCGAGCAGCTCAAGCTCAAGAAGAAGAAGAGCAGCTTTGCAACGCTAAAGACTGGAGACGTGGACGACATTGTGTCCAAGATCCGTGCGAAACGTGTCGAGGAGAAGCGGCGCGAGTTGTTGGCGAATGGATCGGCTCCTTCGTCGGCCACCGGGTCTACGCGTGCCCCTCTGAGCCAACCGCGGAGCGGCGGTTTACTGGCTGCGCTGGATGAGCTCACGCCGGCCATGGAGGCTGTCTAATGTCTGCTCGGCGTTTCATGCGGGACAAGTGGTATTACGATGGTGCATTGAAAAGCGCATAGTGTCCGCACAGCTCGTGTAGCTCAGAGCAAGTCGCAGGAGCAGATTGTGCTAAACAGGTGAAGCAGTATAACAATGTACCCAATTTGTAAAAACGCGTGTACCCATCTGGTGACGCACCCCCACATGGGTCATTTGAACCCGCGCCGAACGCAATGGACGGGAACGGGACGCCGCCCTCGACGCCGCCGTCGCCCCTAAGCCCTCTGCGACCCGCTCCTCGGTACTTGACGCACACCGCACCAGCCACTGCACTCTCCGATGCCCCTCCTGGCTCACCCTCGACGCCTGACTCTCCTCCAGCGCTGACCAATGGACGACAGTCGCCGTCGTCGCCTGCTTCGGCGTCCGTCTCGGCCGTCTCGGCGTCAGCTGTGTCGGCTACGGAGCTTTCGGGACGCTACCGCTTCGCAGAGATGAGCGCGTCAGCAGACGCGACGCCGGCGCCGCGGTATCTCGGACGCTACGAAGCTGTGACAGCGACAGCAGCAGCAGCAGCAACAGCGGCCGGACAACAGGGCGACGATGAGGTTGAGGCAGAGCTGCGACGGATGGCGCAGCGCCAGTTGCCGCGCGGCGATTTGGGCCGAAGAGAGTGGCGAATCGACGGGTTCCAGTCACTGCAGCGAGGACACACGTCGCACGCGGCACACTCAGACGGGCTACGACCGTCGTCGCCCCACAGCAGTAGCAGCAATAGCTCCGTGATCAGCAGCAGTGGCCGCACCAGTCGACCTGATCTGTGGCCGTCTACGGATGCAGCACTGCCGCGGCCGCTGGCGTCCCCGCCGAGCTCGCCGCGCTCCAGTGCGTCGATGGCGGCGTCAGCGTCGACTCCGGGACCGCAACAGGAAGACCAGCAGGCTTACTCTGGTGCGGTCGTCTGGGGCACGAACATTAGTGTGTCCGAGAGCATGGAGCTGTTTCGAGGCTTTGTGCACCACTTTCGACCCGCGAGCTATGATTTGCAGGACGAGCCGTATTACATCAAGGCACTGCGGAGACTAGCGCTGACGCAGTCGCTCGTGCTGGATCTAGACACACAGCACCTGCGTCAATTTCGCGGTGCACGGAAGTTGTACAATCAGCTGATTTTGTTCCCACAGGTGCTGATTCGTATCCTGGACATGGTGGTGATGGAGGAGTATCAGGCGTTACTAGCTGGTGCCGGAGCTGCAGTGGACGCTATTGACCCTGTGGCCAACGCGGCCTTGCAAGTGCGGCCGTTCAACTTGCTTGACTTATCGCCCATGCGCCATTTGAACCCGTCCGACATTGACCAGTTGGTGTGTCTGAAAGGAATGGTCACTCGATGCAGCGGGGTGTTGCCGGACTTGAAGGAGGCATTTTTCCGCTGCGCAATCTGTCATGCAACGACGCAGGTGGCATTGGACCGCGGACGGATCGAGGAACCCACCAGCTGCGAGCGCTGTTCCTCGCGCATGAGTATGGAGATGATCCACAACCGGTGTGCTTTTACGGACAAGCAGATGATCAAGATGCAGGAGACGCCGGATGCTATCCCTGAAGGCGAGACGCCGTACACGGTCCTCTTGTTTGCATTCGACGACCTCGTCGACGGCGTGCGCCCGGGTGACAAGGTGGAAGTCACGGGCATTTACCGTGCTGTTCCGATGCGTTCGAACTGGCGCCAGCGAGTAGTCAAATCTGTGTTCAAGACGTATGTGGACGTCGTGCACTTCCGTCGCGTGGACGAACTCACGCGGCGCGAAGAGGGTGAAAACGGCAGAGACCTCAATCCCGTTGGCGAGGAGGTGAACGAGGTCGAGACTAGCGCGATTGGGCCGGTCGATATTGACGTGGAAATGCCGGATCCGTCAGAGGAACACGACGATGCCGCAGCGGTGGCCGACGCCCAGCAGGCACGTAAATTAGCAGCTTTCCGCCGCATTGCAGCCCATCCTCGGGTGTACGCGAATTTGGCTCACTCGTTGGCACCGTCAATCTGGGAACTGGATGATGTGAAGAAGGGTATCTTGTGCATGCTTTTCGGTGGGACTCGCAAGGACGGAAGTAGCGGCAGCGTGAACGAGCACGAAGAAGGGCACGAGCGTGACGGTATGGCGGTAAAGCGCAAAAGCATGCGGTCTGACATGAACGTGCTGTTGTGTGGAGACCCTGGTACGTCAAAGTCGCAGTTGCTGTCGTACGTACACAAACTGTCGCCGCGTAGTATATACACGTCTGGCAAAGGCAGTTCTGCTGTCGGCCTCACTGCGTCACTTATCCGCGATATGGAGACGAACGATCTCGTGCTTGAGTCGGGTGCATTGGTGCTATCGGACGAGGGTATTTGCTGTATCGACGAGTTCGACAAAATGAGCGATTCGGCTCGCTCCGTGCTGCACGAAGTCATGGAGCAGCAGACTGTGAGTATCGCCAAGGCTGGCATCATTTGTTCTCTCAACGCGCGGGCGTCCATTCTCGCGTCAGCCAACCCAATCGAGTCGCGCTACAACCCGAACAAGTCGGTCGTGGAGAACGTGAACATCCTGCCCACACTTCTTTCACGTTTTGACCTCATTTACCTCATCCTGGATAAGCCGCAGCCGGAATCGGACCGCAAACTGGCGAAACACATTGTCGCACTGTATTACGACGAAGAAACACGTGTGCGCGTGCGTGCGCAAGCTCGAGGCGGGGACGCTGCACCTCAGCTTATCAGCATGAAGCTGCTCACCGAGTACATTGCGTATGCTAAACGGAATGTCCACCCACGGCTGTCAGCTGAGGCCCGAGATGCGCTCATCCGTGCGTACTTGGACCTCCGCAGAATGGGCGGTGCAAGTGCTGCATCGGCCAAGAAAAACATCACGGCAACGCCTCGACAGCTCGAGTCGCTTGTCCGGATTTCCGAAGCACTTGCAAAGCTCAAGTTGTGTGAGACTGTGACGCGTGGCGACGTGGACGAAGCGCTGCGGCTCATGAATGTAGCAACGCAGCGTGCAGCAATGGATCCGCGGACTGGTACGATTGACATGGACATGATCAACACGGGCCATAGTGTGCTGGAACGCGAAGTGCAAGCGGCACTGATCACTGGGCTCAAGGAGATTCTGTGCGAGGCACCGAACCGGTCGATGGCCGTCGGCGAAGCTCGCCGACACCTTGAGGAAAAACACAAGGGCGAAGTCAAGAGCGCCGAGTTCCAAATGGCGCTACGCTCGCTCGAGGACGATAGCCTCATCCAAGTGTCCCATGGCATGATCCGCTACTTTGGCGAGTCAATAGACTGAACAGAGTGGTTGTTCGTGGACCAAGCACAGAGCGTTGCTGCTACAATATGGCTTCTTGTCTTGCTCGTATGAACGGGGTTAATGCAATGCAGCTCACGTTTGGATCTCCACGACGTCGCTACAGTTCTCCAGAGCGATGTTACGCAGGTACAAATGCTTCGAGAAGAAGCGCATGACATGCCGCATGTCCTCTTGAGCATCAATCATTGCATGTCCTTTGTGTGGTCGAACCACACTCGTGAACAGCTCGGCTGCGGCTGTTTCGGAATGTCTGCGCGCAAAGTCGCGACGCGAACGCTGAGTGAGTGGCACCGGGTAGACGTTGTCTGCATCACCAGTGACTTGGAGCATGGGCGTAGCAACGGCGCCTCCTCGTGGATCCGAGCAAGACGACGAATGAGAACCTGCAACTGCGCCGCCTGCTGCGAGCACGACGCCTCCCAACCGCACGTCACGCGGCAACGTCATTGCCAAGTGGAACGCCACGCACGCTCCTTGCGAGAACGCAAACAGAAACAGCCGAGAGTAGTCCCACGCGTACCGGTCGTGCAGCACGCGCAGGAAGCTCCACACATAGTCCTTCGCTGCCTCAAGACTCTGACTGCGCCGCTCGTGTGGCCTGTCCGGAGGGATGACGTCGCCCGTCTCGTCCAAGTCGTCGACCCACGAGCGCCCGAGACCGAACGGCAGTTCTAGGGGAGCACGGAGCGACACGACCGCTTTGTTGCACGGTCACAGCCATTATCAACGGGCGCTCGCACGACGGTGTACGCCGTGGAAAAAGCACATAGAGACGCACCTGTTTGAGGCAGTGCCATGTGCTCACCCAGTCGCGCAAACGGTTCGTGCGAGTCGCCGCGTCCGTGCAACAGCAGTAGCAGATTCTGAGCCTCTGGCGCGCCATCGATGGGCTGCACGAGCCTAAAGACAGACCGTTTGTCCGGAAAACGCGACGCGTCCAAGTCGAGGCAGTTGCTACGGCGCGACACTGTCGTCTTGGGACGCAGAGTCACGGGCGTAGACGGTGCGTGGCTGATGCCGAGAGGCGGAAGGTCATGTGAAGCGTGGGACAGCCATCGCGTGCGGCCGTCGGGTCCGCGCACGAGCAGTAGACGCGCCGCCTCATGGACGCGCTCTACTGCAGCGTCCATGACGACGTGCGCTGTTGCGCGGGGCGGTAGTACCGGTTTGTTTCGTGCTGTACCGGTCGCGTGTCGTTGCGCTACTTGCGTCGTACCGGTATGATGGTCCTTGATCCGCATGGCCCGGTGCTTGGCGTCGTACCGGTAGGATTGTCGGTCTGACTTGCTGGACGGATCGAGTAGTTGCACTAAAACATACGCGTTGGTTTTTGTTTGGAGGCGTCAGCAATGTGTCATGTATCTCGCTTTGGCGACTTGCTGGGTCACAAAGCCCCGTCGACCACGAGTCAATGCTTAATCCGAAAGAGGTTTCTGGATGCTTGCGAGTCATGGCAGTGCTCGGGTGACTGACGAACGGGTTCCTCAGTCGACATGTGCGGTGATGCACTGACAATGTGAAGTCGGAAGTGCTTCCTCGTGACTGACCATTTCGGATTCCGAAGCTACGACGTCGCCTCTTCACGGCTTTTACAATTGCAATGAGTGCAAACGATCAGGTCTTTGTTGCCCACTCCCTCGTTCTACGTCCATCCTGTTTACG